AGAAGAAGAAGAAGAAGATGCGACCACTGTAACAAGAGTTTTATTTTTTCCTGAAGTTTCAGATTCTGTCGATAATCCTTAATGATAGGTGATCGTAGGATAGTCTGAGACATGCGCAGATAGGGGTGAATGACCAAGCATGCAGCGGCGGTGAAAAAGGAAGACGCTACCTCCCAGATTGCAGCTAACTCGACGGAACCGGGCCATATTTTCAAGCTTAACGAGGCTGAGGTCCTCGCAAGAGGTGACAACCGCATGAGCCGCGAGCTGCTTCAGTCATGGTTCTCAGGCCCCCAGTCCATCAACAAGCGCAACGATTTGGCATTCCCATACTTCGTAGTGAGACAATGTCTGAGCAAGAGAATCAGTCAAGTGAAAAGGGCCGCGCCCAGCAACAACTCTGACGACAGCGCGCACAATTATTACGCCATCATCAAGCCCGCATCAGATACGGACATGGAAATCGCGGCAATTAATGAGTCGAAAGCGATGTGTCAAGCCATCACCGCACCAATTAACACCCCAAACGGTGGCTAGTGGAGCTGATAATTATATTACGCATGCGAGCAATCAACATGCCTAATCCCGCCATGATAGGGAGAAATCGTTAATCGTCATAAGTATGCAGTATCATAGTGACTGTATTCTATACAAATACTGCAACTCCCTGTACATGAAGTACTCGTGTCTGATATTGTTCCTTGTCTCTCCACTGTTGTGTTTAGGCAGAAGAAGTTGGGAGTTGCTTCGTGTAAGGACATTCAGGACCAAATCCCAGTTTTGCACCGAGTGGCAGAGCAGGCGAGACAGGAGGAATCATCTCCGTAGAGGACATAAGGAAAACTGCTTGGGTATGTCAGGACGGCCTAACGAACAGCCTTAGCAAGCAGTTACCTTGCAAGCAATAGCTGCACTCAAAGCAGGCTATCTATCAGCCTACACGAGGCGAACACAGATTAGTAGTCAATCAATCGATAACTTGAAATTCGGGTTGCAGTCAGCCGTCGAGTCACAAGCCAATCGCACCGGAGGCCAATTCACAGGAGAAGCTGATTGGTTTGTGAACCTATCTTACACACGTTCGTTGCCCTACATTTGGTGTACCTTTTTCACTCAAAGATTTCTGCTGTTGCATACTTCTTGTCGTGTTATTCCTTTGAGGACTCACACAAGACGTGATTGAGCGGTGATATCTCGGCTTGGGCTTCTGTTACAATAGGGTATTGGGCCTATTAAATTAGAATCAGCGGACGACACACACCCGTTGGGCAACAGAATTAGCCCACGTTTTAAAAATCCACAGTCTCTCGATCGGGGCCTCATAGCTCAGGTGGTTAATGCACCAGCTATATTCAAGCTCTGTAACTCCTACCTTCAAGGCCT